GCGCTCCCAGCCTCCCTCACCAGTGGGCCTCAGCCCCTGCCAGCAGGCACAGCTTCCAAGGCAAGGCTGCTGCTACCACTGCTGCAGCTTCCCAGGAAACTACTAGGCTCCCAAGGCATCCAGTGACTCCTCATCCTGTCCCTGCTGCAGTGCTCTGGGCAGCAGGTAGGGAGGGGTAGCTGCAGCACTGAGTGGGGTGGGGCAAGAGGCTTGCTTTGGTTCTGCTTGTGCGTGGCTGGGCATGGTAGCATATGAATGGGGGGCAGGGTGTGAAGAAGTTTGGCTGCTCACAAAACGCTACTGTGGAAGCATGGGACAGGCAGGTGGGGCGGGAGCAGCAGCAGCAGGAGCCAGTTTGGGCTTGGTTGCAGCCCTGCCAGGAAGGCACAGGACAGGCAGGTGGGGTGGAAGCAGCAGCAGCAGGAGCTAGTGTGGGCACTTGCTTCCCACCAATTCTCATCACCTTTATCCAATGCCTGACAGTTTCTACACCATCTCTGGGGCTGACAATCCACATTAAACTATGGATTTCCCAGGGAAGGGATTAGCTGGGGGAGACGGTCTCAGGCTTAGGATGGGTAGAAAAGAAAGCCCCACCCCACCTGTGTCTCACCTACTGACCACCTCAATTTACATTTTAACTGACTGGCTTTCTTGCATATGTACTGGTCTCTGGCTACTTTACCACTCCATCCAGGAAGAGCACAGACCATCTACAGATGCTTCCCCAGCCTGATGAAGGGTGTTTGTGACTGAAAGCTTGCTAAGAAGAATTTTTCCAATTATTTGAGTTGGTCTAATAAAAGTTATCAGATTTACCCAAAGAACCTTGTCTGCCTATGTCCTTAGATCAACACAGCTACAACCTACACCCTCATAGCCACTACACACTAGTTAGGTCCCCAGCAGTATGGGTGGACCGCATGAGGGTTAAGTAGGGCTGGCCGAAAGACAGGGAAAGTGGGTGGAATTAGGATTGTGCTCACAGCCTGCCTATGATATGGCAAAAATGGCTAGGGGAAGGTTTGGGCAAAGGAGAGGAGGATGGAGGGAATTATTCTGGGCATGAAATTGTGGACAAAGGAGGTGTTATTTGGGACTATGGTAAGTATCCTGATCTTGCTGGGGAGGGGAGGGGGAGAGGGACAGCACATCAGCTTGGACGAGTAGGCCAAGTAGTACCATGCCTATGGGGGAAAAAGGCTTAAGCACAGGGGAG